AATCAAAACAGTAAAGTGGTGGCTGGACAGATGAAAAATGACCTGGAACTGACGATGAAGCTCCGTGAAGATGAGGGGAGCTGCTGATAATTCTCTGTAGGTTCACTACAAGCAACCTCTTTCACATCGTCATTTGATACATTGTTATATTAAAAATACTGATTAAAGCTGCCTTAACCATAAAGTTGACAAAATGCTCATAAGGTATCGGGACACTCCCTTCAAGATTTTAACCATTTATTGCAACAATACACATTTTAGCTTGGTGGCATGGCTCTGCCCACATGAGTTAGATTGGTGGACTGCTGCTCCTCACTAACAGAGAAACGTTGCAGCCGTGCAGCTTCTTGGTGTAAATATGTAAATGTGCTTAATTCCTTGTTCCAGCACGCTTTCATAAAGAATGATGAAATGTAAAACTGATATGGGAAGTAGAAAGGCATTACTCATCTTGTTGTAACTGAGCCTTTTGCACAGACTGCAGGGCTGAAGTTGAAAGGGCTGTCAGACCGTGTTTAAGCTGTTTTTTCCACTCTATGACCACGCTAACAAACCCGCCCGCATTATCAAGTCTACTTGAGACAACTTAATCCAGCTCCTGCTAGACAAACTGCAGACTGGCTGACAGCACCAACAAGCTCTTTAGCTTTCTGGTTTGTTCTCTGATCTTCAAATTCAGAGCCCCTCGTGAGTCAGGCAGCGAGAACTGAGACTGCATAGTTACATATCTGCCTCTTACACACGACATTATTGGGATTAGGATTTAGACAGATTTCACTGGTGATTAATAATTTTAATTTATGAATAGAATCACTAGAAAATAATTTGTTTGCAAATAGTCTAGGGGAGGACAGAACTCCAGACAGAAAGCAAACTCGTGCTTTTATTCAGCCTCTTGGATATTTTTGTCATTTTGACTCGGTTGTTGGCACAGAGCACTTTGATCAGATTTGGGGCCTGTGTGTTCAGTGCTGGCACAGTCTCACCCAGACTGGATGTGTGTATGTTTGATGTTGATCTGTGCCACTGCAATACAAACAACTTGGCAACCTAAGTAAGCAACTGTTTACTTGTTATTCTTTTTCATTTATTTTTCCTTTGAGATGAAATCTGCTTTTCACAAGCCCTTTGGACTTTTTTCATGGTCTAGCACTACATTCGCTTTCAACCAACAGCGAACATAAAGGGATTCCAGCGGCTGTTATGAAGTGGATTCAGTGGCGAATGGTTTTGAGATAATTATGTCGAAAAAGAATCAAATCAACTCCCCAATAATTTGAAGGAATAACTCAGTTGTTTTGAGTGCACTTACATTTGTGCAGTATTATAAGTGTTGGTGATTTAATTCCACTTTGTTCCATAGCCCCAAAATTAATTGGCTACCAATTTTGATAGTTGATTAATTGTTTCTTATCATACGCTAGCTGTTTTGTCGTAGTAGGTAATGTAATAATTTGCTTTAGTAGAAGAAAACTGAATAAATTCAATTCAAGTGTTTTTATAAAGGTGATGCATTAAAGGTAGTCTTACTTTATTCAGATAAATAAATAAGTTTTAAGTTTAATTAACTGAATGAATTTGGTACAATTAACTTACCAAAGTTACCTTAATAATAAATACTTGAGTTACTCAAGTTCAAATCAAATATTTTTCATGCTTAAATTGCTGAGTTAAACTAACTCATCTGGTTTTACAGTGTAGAGATTACAAGTCGTGATATATATTCAGCAGTTGTTTATGAATTTTGGATTTTGTACGTACATCATGCTGAAGGCTGAGGGTCCATGATGATTGGGGCATGTCATCAGGCGTGTGGAGGCCTGCAGATGTTTGAGTTGCATCTATAATAAGACTGGGCTGCGAGGCATTTCAAATCTTCAACTTCTCCTCCTCCTCCTCCTCTCCTTTGCCATCCCTCCATTCCTCTGCTCCGTCCAGGGAGGGCTGCCTCCTCCACCTGCTGCAGTCTGTCTGTCTGTCACAGAACTGCAGTTTAAAGCTGCTGTCAGGGGCAAACCTCCATGAGTCTCACTGTACGAGATTTTTTTCTTAAACTGAAATATTCTGTGACTACAGTGCTCAGAAAACTGAATATTTTGATTTAAAAAAGACATGTTTTATAACTGAAAACTACCACTTTGATAAATAACTAGATTCCTTTTTACATTTACAAATGACAGCACATTACTGTCACTGTAACCTGTCTGCTGTAGGTTAATGAAACACAGCGGTGACGACTGCTCATTTGTGCTCTGACTGCCACTTTCAGGCCATCAGTACAGCAGTGTAGTGGTTGCACCTGTTGTTGCTGCTGATACAATGTCAGTCACTCAGCACAAAAATAATAGCTGGAAAGCCTTGATCTCAACACGACAAGCTGAACATCTCTGTTTGACGAGTGCGTGACAAAACTGAATTTGCTTGTCAAACAAAATGAGTCCCGATAGTTTAACATGAGCTGAATTAAAAATTAAAAATTTACCAGAATCCTAATTTTTTTCATTATGTACCACAAGCACCATTAATTAATTTCTTTCATCATTCAATTTTTCATTTGTAGATTTCATAACATAAAAACATCCTGGACCTGCTCAGTGTTCAACAGCAGATATTACAGTCATTTATCTAACAATGAAACAAATGATTATAGTCTCAAAATGAGATCCGCTGTGTTAGATATATCTCATTATCACTGCAGTGAGTCAGTGGGATGGTTTAGACGTCTCCATTCTCATCACTTAAGAGCGTATCACTTCATGTGTAAAGGGTCTATCTCTCCAAAACTTGTTCTATTCCACTAATGCCTGTCCCTGCTCCTCTGTGGCTCACACACTGACGGCTGGTCAGCAGTGAATGCGTGTTATGTGTTCCTGTGACCTCCTCGATACCAGATACCTACAACCCACCCAAACAGGCACGACATCCACGCTGACACTCTACACGCACATATTCAAACACACAGATGGGCTTTCTCCCTTGCGCAGACACAAATACACGCACACAAGCATACAAGCACACGAACACATACCTAAGCTGAGGCTGTTAAAAAAGCGATCACATGAAGGCAGGACTGCGAGGAATGAGCTTGCTGGGGGCCACGGTGATGGAAAGCCAAGTGATTCCTGGCAGAGTTGTGCTGCTGATGGACTAATGGTAAACTGACCAGGAGAAGAGGTTCTGCTCAGTTAAATGAATCATTCCTTTCAATGATGATACTGTCTAGGCTCTGCCCTGTGCTGCTGTTTATATAACCAACCAAGTTACTGTGGATACACTGTAGTCCTCAAAGTTGCCTTCCACATTGTAGCTTCGCAACTCTGTGCACAAAAGAGCAACAGAGGCCATTTTAATACAACCAAACCATTTAAGCATTCTGTGTGAATCACTTGTGTATTATAGCTGTGGCTACACACACTCAGCTTCACTGGTTCCTGCCGGCAGAATTTCTGTTTTTATAGTTCGCATTAGCTCTCCATGGTGACTGGTTGATGGATATTAAATGTGTTTGAAAACAGTTGCCAGTCCGGAAACCTTAAATGTCTGAGTGGACATCAAAGCATCAAAGCATCAGGAAGCTAGCTGTGGAATCCAGACAGCAGTCTGGTCTGGTCTGGTCTAGTTCACTTTTTGGCTGCACCAATTAGATCCCTGCTAGCCTTAAATCAGTGTGAAATTATTCTATTTGTTGATATATATTTTATAGTATGGATGCTAATGCACGTGCATTGTCTGAAAAGGAAAGAAAGTTGCTGTTTCAGTGCCACAGCAAGAACAAACATCTCATCATGTGATTGTGACGGCTGTACGTGTATCTTTGCAGCAGGCTGTCGGTCTGTGTTGGCTCTCTTTAAGTGGGACAGTTCACTATTTATCTCCTGACATTACTTTAATCAACTGACTCAGACGTAGTTTAAGACATGGTGGAGCTGCTTCTATATATCTGTTTTCTGGGAGTGACATACAACTGAACTGTAACCATAACAAGCACATTTGTTAGATATGTTAAATGTTTTTGTTGTTATGACAAAGCCACTTCTGTCATGGATGTTTTGGGGCTGTTGGAGTTGTACCACTGGTTTCCTAAAAGTGTCTAAGAGGAGAGTTTGGATGGTTTGGGCTCGGGTAGCCGGTGCAGAGGCAAGACTACGGAAAGAATCCCAGGACTGCCATCCCAGAAGCTTCAGACTGACAGCCATGTCACTATAGCAGACGCTCAAACTCCATATGCACGAGCCTGACATGAACACCTGACGCTACACAAGAATGTTACTGGAGCTTATTTACTGCTATATTATACAGTCCTGTTTGATGGCGTGTCATTCTGCATACAGACAGAGCTTTATGTAATAAATGTCCACTGAAACAACATTTATTGAAATAGTGTGTTGAAATCATTCTACATTATGTGTGCACACATGCAGTGAGAGTGGATGAGTAAAATATCTGAAGCAGAGGTGGAAAGCATCCAGTAAATCGTTAATCAGTTTTAGAAGTGTATCAATCAGTTTATATTAAAACATTAGAAAAATAATTGATCAGATAGTGAACATTATATACTGAAGTTTAAAACATTGTTGAGACACAGAGTCATAGACAATACAGCGATACTAAACAAATAATGTAGAGAAAGGGAAAATGAACACACTTCATTCATGTCAAAGGAAAGAAAACAAATCAGCAAAGCAATTTGTGTGCACCTTGAAAATAAACATAATTATTTATTCCTTTTTCTACTTCCTTTTTCTCTTGTTTAAAGCAGTCTGTGGTTATTGGACAGGTGTTAGTTTAATTTTAATCTACCGCACATTCAGTTGAATTAATTCAGCCAGTTCAGGAAATGGTTTTCCATTCCTATTTTTATGTTGCTCTCAACTCTCAAATGCAATATGATTAAAAAACTGTGAATGGATGTACTTCATTGCCGTCTCCTCTTAATTAAACACTAAGTTATTACAAAAACCAGAATAACCTGAGTGTTTTTTTCTTTCTTTCTTTTTTAGACTCTGACAGAGACCAAGAGGACAGTCATGTTTTCAGCCAGACCAGAGACCCAGCCGTAAGTACACACAGACCTTCTGTTCATGCAGATACATAAACCAACCATAACGTTCTTCTATAGTGAGAGCCATAACACATAAACAAGTGAGAGGCGAGATTTTAGATGATCAACATGACAAACAACAACAGTCTACATCAGTATTCACTGAGCAGGAGATGGTACATGTTTTTTTTTTCTGTGCTCTCAATCAATTTAAAAGCACCATCTGTCCCCAACACAATAATAACAGTGCAGCGTGTTATTATCAGCTCCGAATACGCAGCCGACGCTTTAACTCAGTGGAGCGATTCTTTATGTGATTGTGGTTTGATGAGAGAAATGAGTGCCGACAGATGTTACTGCACTTTACTGAGGTTGTTGCTGAGCTCTAATATGTTTAAAATAATTTAGTGCATTATTACACTTTATGAAGAGAGTTTTACATTATTTTTGATTGTGTACTTGAAGCTCATAAACAGGGTACTAAATCACTCTAGCTCTGTCTTTTAGTGTTCACTGGCTGCTGAATGTGTGTGTAAGAAGGGATTAAAAGAGGAAGCAGTATTTGGTTGGCAAAAGAAATCATCTTAATGAGTGAAAAACATAACAGGAATAATTATAGCATTAGTTATATAAGGGATTTAGCTCACTATCTTCACTGGAAATGTGTAGCTGCTAAGTGTGAAAGGTCACAGCAGCCCGACAACAGGTGAAGTGCTAAGACAGGATGTTTTTACAAGATTAACTATGCAAGAGTTTATGAAGCAAGCTGAGGAAGGGGATATGGGAGGCTGGAACATGACATGTTTCCTCCAGAAAGGAGGTAAGAGGTTTGATTCAGTCAGGGGAATAAAACACACACACAATAATAACAATACTAAAAGCTCTGGGGGATCTATATTCAGATTCAATGAAATAAACAGGTCATCAGGAGACAAATACGACACTTTCCACACAGCTCTCCTAAAAAACCTCCTCCAGTGATGATATCTGGACACAGGAAGTTAAAATAAATTCAGTCACCTTTAGAGGTTTTGATACTTTTAGCAAAACACGCGTCTTTGCGTTATAGTACGTGCACAGCTGAGGGAGCCTGGCCTACAAAACACATCTTCAAATGCATTACCAGCCATCATTACATTAATAAAGATTATATATTTACCTTAATGCACTGATTCAGCATCTTACTTGTGTGTAGCCCAACACATGTTACAGAAATCAAATCAGTTTGTCTTCCTGGGCAAGTAGCAGACCCATTCTCTGTTTGAGAGATCGGTTCATTTTATGTCCTTTACGATAATAGCAAGTGTGTGTAGGCGGTGTGAGTGGGAAAAGTTAGGAGTTCGTGTCTTTCATGAGGAGTGAGCACTCAGTACGTTGGACAGGCTGACCCTGTACAAACTGGACACTAAAAAGAGTCATTCAAAAAGATTCATTTGTTCAATTTCGCCCATCGCTACTGCTGGCCGTGATATAGCTTCCTCAGAGATAAAAGCTCATTTTTTACTGCATCTGCTGAAGTTCAGTTGTCAGCAACTGTTTAGTTTTATTTGGTGGGGTGTCATGACAAACCCACAGCTTGTATTTCCTTTGTAATTCTTGCTGAGAATGCTGACTGAGCCTCACATGCACACTGCAACACAGATTCAAACCTGGGAGCCACTGGAGCAGTGGAAAGCCGAGAATGTCAGTGCTTGTTGAAATAAATTGAGAAAATTCAAACAGCGGTCCTCATGTTCCTCAGATTTTCCCACACCAGTCTCCCTGAAGCTGCAGTACAAACCTGCTACGGAGTTGCAAATAATCTTGTTAGTCGAGTTAAAGAGTAAAACCACACTGAAAAGTTCTGCTGCATGAAAGTGACTTAACACTATCTTCTACTGTGTGGACAGGTAAAAGACAAGAGGCGGTCGCCCCCCTCTGACAGGTCCCCCTCCGGCCCACAACGCAACCCTCACCACAGCGGCTCCACAGACGAACAGGAGAGCCCTGAGAGAGTGGTGAGACACACACAGACACACACACACACACACACAAACCTGCATTAAACCACTACAAGGATGCACAGAGAGTGACACACACACAAAGTATACATGCATATCTGGGGATATTAGAGTGTGTCGATGAATGCTGTTTAGAAATGCGCTCAAGAAGAAAAAGAAACAAAATAAAATTCAAAGATTTAAGGTATGCTTATAAAAGAAAAGGGAATTCTCATTAGCTGCATTAAAGTTAAAAGATTCATTCTGATGTTTGTCTTTGCTCTGATAAATAGAGAGGCAACCCATGTTAACAGATCAGAGCCGCCACACTGACTCAGCTGCAGCATTGCTGCAAGCAGTTTTTCCGCTAGCTGTGCCAGTTTCCAGAAAAACAGATAGTTAAATGGTCTGTTCATAGTCATATCGACATCACACCAGCAACACTGTAACACTGCAATGTGTCGTTTTTACACTTCGATTCTTCGACTTTGTGGACATTAAACAAACAAGATACAACCTGTTAATGGGTGAGTTCTAGAGGTGCCGGTAAGTGGATTCTGTTACCTTTGGAAGGCGAGAGGCTAGCTGTTTCCCCCACTTTCCAGTATTCATGCTAAGCTAAACTAACTGGTTGCTAGTTGTAGCTTCATATTTAACAATGAAGCATGTGGTCACAATCTCTCGTCTAACTCTTGGCAAGAAAGCTAATTTAAAAAAGCCCAATATCACAAATCACAAACTGGCCTCAAGGGGCTTTACAATCTGTACAGTATACAACACCTTTTATCCTTAGACCCTTGATTCGAACAAGATAAAACTCTGTTCCTTTAATTCTGATAAACAAACCAACAAAAGCTGTTTTCATAACAAATGCACAAATTATCAACTTGGATTAGGGGTGAAGAGCTTGACAGCCCCACAGGGTCAGTTTATTTTACCTGTACCTGCATTATCCTGGTGTATGCTGCCGTTGTGATTTACTTTATTTGGACTGAGGAGAGTCCCTGTGACATTGACCTCTAAACCCTCAAAGCTAAAAATTTTGAAATCTTTATGAACTACATTGTTCTTCGGATATATTTGGAAAGGAGAACGCAGCATTATGACTGACCTCGTGACCCCAGCAGCCACCAGGCCCATACAAACTGGATCACAATAGTCCAGGCCCAATCTGCTGAGGTCATTGTCCACCACATAAACAACCTTTCATTTCTCCCAGCTCAGCACAGATGCCAGTCGTGGCCTTTTCACGCTGCAGCAGGTGATGGCCAGCTGCTGGACGCAAAGTCCACAACAAAAAACATCTGAATGTTGCAGATCTGAAACCAGCCGCAGGTGTCGGGGGACTCTGTAAACACTCTGACCCACATTCATGGACTAAAAAAGTAGCACGTTAGCACTTTAAGAGTTTTTGTGAAACAAAGCAGTGCAGCTGCTTGTCGCAGGACAGTGACACCTGCTGGTTGCAAACAGAAATGTCAGTGTCGCTAACAGGCATGAAACAACAGACGGTTGGAAAAAGACCACGGTTACACAAAAAGTGAAATATATCTGTAACAAATATTAACATATATATTTCTTGTTTATATGATAAATCACCATCATAGTGAGATACTGCTTATTATAGGTTACCTGCATTTTCAAATGAAATTTACATTGTAAACTAGTTTTTGAGAATTCAATTGTAAAATTTTAATTTTAACTTTTATTTAATTATCAGATTACCGGAAACAAGTTTTTACACTGACACAGGTATCTTGCATAACCGTGGGGAAATGTATTAAGTTAATGAATATTACACAAATTCAAATTACATGAATGTGTCATTGCGGCAAATTAAAAAGAGTAATAATAAAAATATATAACAGCAACAACAGCCAATTATCATTATCATAATCATAACCACTGTCACCATCATCATCTTAATCCACAGTGGAGTAATAATAATAGATTATGCGTTAAAACAATTAACAAAATAATTATGAATTTTTTCAACCATAGTGTGGTTGATTTTGGGCTGTACTTTTGGCATCATGACATCCACCAACACTGCAGATCGTCTCACCCTGTGCTGTCTGTGTTCTCTGTGTTGTCTGCAGGTGCAGAAGGAGAAGCTCCATGCAGAGCTGAAGCAGGTGTTGAGTCAGAAGAGAAGTCATCTGAGAGAGTCAACCTGCCAACTCGCCCAACCAGAGATGGACTCGGAGCCCACAGACGAACAGACGGTAAGCTGGAGTCTAATAAATACTGGTAATGTGACTTCAGGCTTAATATCAGTATCAGTGGTTGATCACCGACTGGAGAGTCTTTATACCATAAATCAATAACAAAGGAGATGAAGTACGACGCACACAAACTCACTCAGATGGCTGAGAGAGTTCACGATTCACTTTTTCCTTCAAGAGCGGTCTACAAGTTATTTCCTTTGGGCAGTCACTGGAAAAATGGATGTAATCCAAGAATAGAGTGACCTTTCCTCCATGACAGCTTAATGGATAAAATGGATTCTGGAGTTAAGTGTGAAGTGACAAATAACTGTACAGTAAATTCTGCACTCACTCAAGCAAGTGAAACACGATATAAAACAGTGTTGAAGTCCCGTTTTTAATAAAAGTAAAGTAAAAAGTGACATAAAAGACATAAGAACATTCAGTTTCTTAGGTGATGCATTTTCTTAGAGCTGCACAATGTAATACAAGTGGCACCAAATGGTTTTAATAGGTAATGATTTATATATTTTTTTACTTCCACAGAATCACTGCTGAGCGAGAACTCATACATACCTTTGTCCTCAGTTTTCATCTTCAAGTATAAAAGTTGTGTGTCTGTGTGTGTTTTAGAGTGGGGAGGAAGCCTCTAAGACGGTGGAAATCGTGGTGGAGACGGAGGCGGAGGCTGGAGCCAGCGGCTACAGTGTGACTGGTGGAGGACAGCGAGGGATCTTTGTTAAAGATGTACTCAAAGACTCACCAGCTGCTAAACATCTCAGTCTACAGGAAGGTACCTGCGGTCAAATCTGACTCATTTAGGAAGCACTTTTGCCAAACATACTCAGTGTTTTAAAATGAACGTAATCCAAATAAGAAATAAAATGAAAATATGTACACAGCAAACTCTGAGCCATGGTGAGTGTGTGTCCTGGGTTTGTGAACCAGTGCGATGGCTTTGTTCATCAGTATCGTGTTCTTGGATATTCAGGATATTGGACATTCATGAAGGGTGTGAATGCCCTGGACTAACTTTAAAACTTGTAATACAAAATGTTTTTATACATTTAGAACCGTAAACCTGTTGAATGGATAAAAAGAAGCTTCTTATATATCTCAGATACAGGCAGAGTTGGATAGTTACAGCAAGTCATTCAGTTTTATAGTTAAACCAATAATATATATACCAAAAATATCAGTTTGAACTGTTTACACTGTGAATAATTATGAGAATTAATGTTCACTGGAGCTGCCCTTCACTGGTCAAAGACTCACGACTTTACATTGGATTATGTCAAAAGGCAACTTCACCAGCATCAACGTGGACAACAATTATGTTCAAGATAACAGATCAACACATATAAAAATATCAATTCTCTTATAAAATTGCATCTCAATGGTGCTTACAGTCTTTCATCAAAATGCTACTGCTGACCAGTATCCAGACATTAATGCTAATGGTCGTGCGTCTGTGCGACCACATTAACCATTGAATTAGGCACAATATCATAGACTATAATGAAGACAGGGGGAAAGAAAAACGGTGGACTGTTTGTGAACACAATGGACAACATTTCAAATGCAGATGGTCATTCTCAGTTCAAAGTGAAAAGGTGAACATACCATTATCTCCTATGGAATGTTATTCTTCCATTACCGAACCCATATATTTCTAAAGATTATGTGAGCTACACAAGTGTACGCCATTATTGATAGACGATATGTCACTATTTTATGATCTTCTGTGCTTTGTTCAGTTGAATCTTTGTGGATGTTACATAGGCTGCTGTGTTATTAAAATGTAAGGCTGGTTTCAGTAAGTTTATAGACTATACACTTATTGCCTTCCCTTGAGTGAAGAAACTTTCCTGATCCGAGGCTGTTAAGATGGGGACAGACTGGTTACCTAGCAATGCTCTATATCCCGAACATTAAATCCTTTATTAAGGTATTAAACATTTATGACTCAATTTAAGAGATTTGTGCAGTGTGCTCAAGTGTTTCTGGGTCTATCACAACATGTAAGGACTCTTTATATCCAGTTTTTCCACATAACAGTTAAATGGTCCCTACATATTTGATCTGTTGGTTTATCAATAATATATGAGACAACCATAAAAAGCAGGGTTTTTAAAAAAATGTTTACTTACTGGTGTACTTCTATTGATGTTATATTTACATCTGTGATCACACTTAGAAAAACTGGGAATATTTTGGTATATATTTAACAGTCAACTAACATATTTACATTTACATGTTTTCTATGGTCAGAGTCAGTCTCGTCCCTGTAACATGAAAGAAGTGGGGACCAGACAGCAGTGTGCCACTATTCAAGTAGCTCTTTCAGCAGATACTCTTACTTAAGTAGTTCTTTTAATGACTACTTCTACCTAAAGAGTATCTTAACACCATGCTAAAAAGAGCAGTGTTTTGTTAGCTTGTTTTACCTCTGATCACACAGTGTGCTTTGCCTCACCTGTAACCACAGCCAGCAGTGATGTCAAGGGGTCCTGAAGTACACCTGCACTTCACTGCAGCAAGATGAAAAGTTAAACCACTAGGGGTCAGCAAAGACAAGATTCTCAGGGGGTGTTACTCTTTAAGTACTTGTTATAAATGGACGTACTTCAGTACAGTTTATTGCTACTTGATTCTTTAGAAGTTCAATTCCTGACCTTAAATAAAAGTTCAAACTGGGATAGAAAGGTGTGAAAGTTTCACAAATTACTTAGACTTCAATTCATAATGTTGTCTGTGTGAAGGTGATCAACTGCTGAGTGCCAAGGTCTACTTCGACAATGTGAAGTATGAAGACGCTCTGAAGATCCTTCAGTGTGCGGAGCCATATAAGGTCAGCTTCCTGCTGAAGAGGACCATCCCTGGAGCAGAGGTCAGCGTGCGGCCTCGAGTTCCCAGTGTGGAGGTCAAAGGTCCCAAAGCCAAGATGGCCAAAATGGTAATCAATTATATTCTGTATCTATATGTGGTATGTGCTCTTGTAACCAAATTGTGTTTTAGTGGCATTTTCAGTTTGTTATAATCAGACTTTGGTAAAAACTACATTAAAAGCCCAACTGTCACTTATTGTAAATAATTAAATATTTAGTCCAATCTTTTAGAGCCTAAAATTAGGTTTAAAACTCATTCATAGTGTACATATATTCAGTTATTAAATTGTTCAACCAACATAAAGCCTGCACCTCAACAGATATTAACAGGCTCAAATTTTAGGGCCTTAAATATTGCCCACTGATCGTCTGGTCATTCATGTGTGTTTGTGTGTATTTCAGAGTGTGAAGGGCACCAAGACATTCAAGGTCAAGAAGAAGAGAGGAGGTCGTTTTGGTCTAAAGCGGCTTAAAGAGAAGCGCAGAGAAGAGCTGGTGATAGAGGGAACACCCCCCAGGCTAGAGATGAGTGACGTAGACGTGGAGTTTTCTCTCCCCAAATTCAAACAGAGGAGGAGCACGAAGGTCGACGCAGGAGGAGCCGGAGGAGCAGCAGCCGAGGGGAAGGCAAAGAGGAGGATCAGGTTGGCGTTTGTGTTTGTGTTCTGTGTTTGCTTTTCATGATGAAACTGTCACCATTAGCTGCCGTACTGACTGAACAGCATGTGAAGAAATTTGCAGAGGAACATTATGATGGTAGTTCTAAAACTGACTATTTTAATTACATCAAAAGATTATCTGAAAAGTGTGTTTTTGACATATTTCGCTTTTTGGCTATATTTCAATGTGTTTTTTTTCTTCTCTCTTTCCTTTCTTTACATGGTTCTCCCAGGTTTCCCCACATGAAAACAAAGGGCGGAGCAGAGACAGGGGGAAAAGTGGAAACAGGACGACTCGAGGGACAGGTGAATATCTCTCCACCTGAGATACCTGGAGCTAAAGTGAAAACCAAAGGAAAAGGACACAAGTTTGGAATCACCTTTCCTAAGAGCAAACACACAAAGTCAGGCGCAGCTTTGGAAGGTGGATCCGTGGAGCTAAAGCCCCCGGGTGTGAACATCCAGCCACCATCAGCGGAGTTCAGTTTGTCTGATAAAGATATGGATGTGGAAAAGGGAGGGGTTAAGATTAATGCGCCTGATGTGGAGTTTGCACTCCCTTCAGTAAAAGCTGAGGCCTCTTTGCCTGCTGTAAAGGGAAAAACAGAAATCAAAGCTCCTAAAATTGACATCAAAGGAGGAGTTGGTGCAGATGCAGCTGTGGGAAAAGTTGATGTAGACATGGGCAAAGGAGATGCAAAGCTAAGAATGCCAAAGTTGAAACTGCCCAAAGTTAGACTCTCACGTCATTCGGATGAGATAGATGGTGACATCAACGTAAAAGCCAAAGGGATGAAAGTGCCTCACACTGACATAGTACCTCCAAAAGTAAGAATCAAAGGAGGTGGTGAGATTAATCTCCCCGAAGCAAAGATCGAAGGTGATCTCTCAGCCAAAGCTGCATCGATTGAAATGCCTTCTGTTGATATTTCTTTACCAAAAGTGAAAGGGAAGTCTGACATCGACATCTCACTCCCAGAGTACGAAGGAGCTGGGAAGGCATCTATCAAAATGCCTGCCATTGATATCTCTGTGCCTCATATTGATTTGGAATTGGACACCAGACGTAGAATTCCTGATGAGGTGGAGGGTACTTTTAAAGGGCCCAAAATCTCCATGCCAAAGGTTGATATGTCGTTACCAAAGATGGAATCATCCAATGTAGATATTGAAGGTCCAGAAGGTGGAGGGAAATTCAGCCTACCCTCTGTGGACATCTCTCTCCCAAAGGTGAAACCTGTGGGTGAAGATGTGGATATGGACTATTATGTTGGTGGAGAAGGGAAGTTCAAAATGCCTAATTTTGACATATCTTTCCCAAAAATTAAGTCACCAGAAGGAGAAGTAAATCTAACAGGACAAGAGGTGGAAGGGGGCTTCAAGTTACCCAAAGTAGACTTGACCCTTCCTAAAGGTAAAGCCGGAATGACTGATATTGAAGAAGGTGGAAAATTTCAGTTACCATCATTTGACATCTCCCTCCCTAAAATGAAGACAGGTGAGGTGGAAGTCGATATCCAAGGCCCTGAAGTGAAAGGTGGTAAATTTGAAATGCCTGCACTTGACATTTCTCTGCCCAAAGGCCAAATGGAAGGAGACATTGATGTAGAAGGGCATGCTGGGAAGGGAGGAAAATTCAAAATGCCTACCTTTGATGTTTCTCCACCAAAGTTGAAACAACCAGAGGGTCACGGTGGAGCTAACATCCAGATGCCCTCTCTTGATGTATCACTGCCAAAAGGAAAGATGGCGGGTGACATTGAAATAGAGGGTCCATCTGCAAAAGGAGGGAAGTTCAAAATGCCCTCACTTGATGTCAAACTCCCAAAGATGGGGGCATCTGGGGCTGAGGTTGACTTAGAAGGACCTGAGATTAAAGGAGGGAAAATTGAAGTGCCATCGGTAGACATTTCTCTACCAAAAGGTAAATCCAAGGGTGAGGTTGAGATTGATGGAAAAGGAGGCAGGTTTAAGATGCCTTCATATAATATATCTCTTCCAAAAATGAGGTCCCCTGAGGGAGAGGTTGTTTTGGAAGGACCTGAAATCAAAGGTGGAAAGATCAAGATACCTACTGTCGATATCTCTGTTCCCCAAGGAAACGTAGAGGGAGATTTGAACATGCCCTCTGTAGACATTTCTCTCCCAAAAATGAAGCTACCTGAAGGAGATGTGAAGCTAGAATGTCCTGAACTTTCAAATGTTGACATTTCTCTTCCCAAGGCAAATGTGGAGGGCAACTTGGAGCTCGAGGGCAGTGGTGGTAGCAGAGCCAAGTTCAAGATGCCAACTTTTGACATCTCACTCCCAAAGATAAAAACCAAGGAGGGAAAGGTTGATATTGAAGGACCTGAAGTCAAAGGAGGAGCAAAGTTCAACATGCCATCACTCGACATCTCTCTTCCTGCTATGAAATCACCAGAGGGGGAGGTAAAGATCGAAGGTCCTGAAGCCAAAGGAGGAAAGTTCCAGATGCCTTCATTAGATGTGTCAATACCAAAGATCAAATCACAGGGAGGTGACATCGACATTGAAGGTCCTGAGTTCAAGGTTAATACACCAGAGGCAGATTTAGACCTAAAAGGGAAAAAAATAAAAGGAGGGAAAATAAACATGCCTACAGTTGATATCTCTCTTCCAAAAGGAAAAGCAGAGGGTAAAATAGATATTGAAGGACCCACAGGAAAAGGAGGCAAGTTTAAGATGCCTACATTTGATGCATCGCTACCAAAGATGAAGATGCCTGAGGGAAACATTGGCCTCGAGGGACCCTCAGTAGATATCTCTCTTCCAAAGGGGAAAGTAGAGGGTGACATACAAACTAAAGGTAAAGGAGGACATTTTCATATGCCCTCAATTGATGTGTCTCTCCCTAAAATAAAATCAAAGCGAGGTGACATCAACATCGAGGGACCGGAAATCAAAGGTGGGGACGTTAAAATGCCAACTATTGACATCTCACCCCCTCAAGGAACATTAGAAGGCGATATTGAAGGTGAAGGAAAAGGAGGCAAATTCAGCCTGCCGTCTGTAGACGTTGCCCTCCCAGCTGTAAAATTCCCTGAGGGAGATGTGAATTTCCAAGGGCCGAAAGTTAAGGGTGGGAAGTTTGAAATGCCGAAAATTGATCTCTCACTTCCTAAAGGAAAAGGGAGACAGGGAGACATTGATATTGACATTCACTCTGGAGGAGATTGGGATATTGAAGTACCATCCTGTGATATTAGACTTCCTAAAGGAAAAGTCAAAGGTGACATAAATGTTAAAGGTCCAAAGGGGGGGAAAGGTAAATTCAAAATGCCAAAATTTGATATTTCACTTCCAAAAGGCAATGCCAAAGTGGAAGGACCAGAGATTAAAGGAAAGATGAAAATGCCGACTGCTGATATTTCACTTCCAAAAGGAAAGATAGTGGGAGACGTTGACATTGAAGGACATGGGGGTAAAGGAGGCAAGTTTCACATGCCATCACTTGATGTTCCAGCTCCTAAAATAAAATCTCCTGAGGTAGATGTCAGCCTCAAGGGTCCAGATGTTAAAGGGGGACATTTCAACATGCCAGCTGTTGACCTTTCATTACCATCAGCAAAAGTTAATTTGCCAGAGGGTGATGTAAAATTAACAGGTCCAGACATCAAGGGCAGGAAGATTGAGATGCCGGACATTGATATTTCACTCCCCAAAGGAAAAGCAGGAGGAGAAATTGAATTCGAAGGGCATGGTGGTAAAGGAGGAAAGTTCCATATGCCATCGTTTGATATCTCTCTTCCTAAAATGAAAGCTAAGGGGCCAGAGATTAACATAGAAGGTCCTGAACTTAAGGGAGGAAACATCAACATGCCAGACATTGACCTTTCACTTCCCAAAGGAAAAGCTGACACTGACCTCAGTATTGAGGGTCCTGAGGTAAAAGGAGGGAAATTCAAAATGCCCAAAGTTGATGTTTCACTTCCAAAGATGAACCTGCCAGAGGGCAATGTGAAATTACCAACAGCTGATATTTCCCTCCCAAAAGGAAAGGTAAAGGGAGATGTTGACATTGAGGGACATGTGGGTAAAGGAGGAAAGTTTCATATTCCTTCGGTTAATATCTCTCTTCCTAAAATCAAATCAAAGGGAGTTGATGTTGATATTGAAGGACCTGAAGTCAAAGGTGACATGTCACTCCCTAAAATTACGTCTCCAGATGTAGATTTCAGCCTTGAGGGTCCAGATGTGAAAGGAGGAAAGTTTAACTTGCCAACTGCTGACATTTCACTCCCCAAAGGAAAAGCTGAAGGTGACCTTGATTTTGAAGGCCCTGAGGTAAAGGGGGGTAAATTTAAAATGCCAAAATTTGATGTCTCATTGCCAAAAGTTAATCTCCCAGAGGGCGATGTCAAAATAAAAGCCCCAGACTTTAAGGGAGGAAAGATTGAAATGCCAGACATTGATATTTCTCTTCCCAAAGGAAAAGCAGGAGGAGAAATTGAAAT